TCTCTCTCTCTCTCTCTCTCACACACACACACACACACACAGAGGATAGCTGAGCATTGCAATATCAGATGTAGATGAAGATGCTTTCACTGAGAGCAACATACAAACTAGGAAAAGCACAAGCAATTATACAGGAAAGAGATTGAAAGGCTGTGATGGGACAAAAATGGGAGTTACTAGCGACGGTTAAAACTCCATAATGATGGATTTGTTTCTTACAAACACGCAGTTTATCGCTTCACAAGACATTAATTGATGGACTAGAGTTACTATTGTGTTGTTGTGATGTTTTTATTAGCTGTTTGGACTCTCATTCTGACGGCACCCATTCACTGCAGAGGATTCATTGGAGAGCTAGTGATGTAATGCTACATTTCTCTAAATCTGTTTTGATGAAAAACTCAATTTACATCTTGGATGGCATGAGGGTGAGTACATTTTCAGTGAACTATTCCTTTACGAAGTGTATGTGGGCAGCGTCTTGTTCTTGTGGTCTTGAGACTTTCAGGTACCACATCAACATGGCAGCTTTGTCTGGTTTTGATTTCACTTCTGTATTAAACTGGATCTGGGCATCAGTTTATGGTCTTATCTATAACCTAATATACTGACAAAAGACAAGGTCTACATAAACACAACAACTGTGCGACCGTCGACCCCAGGGGTTAAAATGTACCTTTAGCTCTAGCCCAGGGCTGGATTGGTAATCGGGCATACCGGACATTTTCTCGGTGGGCCGACGCACTTAAGGGGCCGACAGAATGTTTTTTTTGTTGTTGTTTTTTGCCAAGGACCATCACGCAGGGACAGCGAGCAGCCAGTGGCCCATTGGATTGTCTCCTGTATAGACATAAATTTGTCCCCTGCGCTCTTTTGGTTAAGTCAAGTGTGTTCATAGTGGTTTCCATGGGCCAATGCTAATAAATCTAGATTTAAATTAACAAAGACACGATATTGTTGGACCTGACATTTTATTCTTATCCAAAACAACTAGATGTGATATGAGTGTGATACATACATACATACACTACCAGTCAAAAGTTTTTGAACAGTAATATT